TTCAGTAATAATACAATGAGAAAAATCCATTAAATTACGTAGCTATTGTCTATAAAAACGTTATTTGTGCAAGAATTTCGATACTGCCTGCCGACTAGACTCAATGTGGTTTTCTTTCACACAAAATAAACTCTCTTCCCGGTTCAATGTACAGTAAAAGGTCTCGAAATGGGCTTTGGTTTTCGTTATCCAACTTTGATGAACGCAACGGCTACTTCATATCGGATGCCACGGTTGAAACCAAACACAACCTATCGGATCACTGTGTGGCCAATGACATCAGCTGGTCTCGGGGTGGACACGTTTATTGATGTGACTACTGCACCAAGTGATCGAGGTAAGCCCTAAATGAGAGTGCACCGTTAAGTCAAGAGACTGAGTGAAGAAAAACTCTCAGCTTGTCAATCTGACACATTTCGTTCGTTTTTACTCTTCTGTTCCACTCACCCACTCCGTGTTCTTGGATTTCATTCCAGCCCCGGACCCGCCAAGTTTTGCAATCTCCTCAGTTGGCATGTCCAATTTCACCGTGATCTATGAACCAAGTCACATAGGGATACCGGGGACGGTGTTTTTTGTGCAATACCGACAGCCAGGCATCATACATTGGCTGGAATCTGAACCCACTTTCATTGAACGGGAGATAGTGGTGGACGATCTCGTTGCAGGTAAAAAGTGGTGAATAAATAACTAATTCACGATTACAACGAGTTTATAGGCTGTGGTTAAACTACCCTGATGCACTATAGCGCTTTCCTTAGTTATTTAACCCTCTTTTATGGTTTCCAGTTCCCACGTATCACTTCTTAACTTTTAGGCATTTTTGTCCTTTGGTAGAAGCAAAGGTCCTATTAACCAGGTAGCACTTTAAGCTGATCAGCAAGTCATGCATTGAGCTTTCTAATGAGGTGGAGTATAAGCAATTGGCTTGAGGTATCCAGCATCCACGACTGAGCATCTGTTTGAACAGGGATATCATCACCCACCTCTCTATACAACGTACGCGTTGATCCTTACATATGCAGTTACTTATCCAATCAATACGACTATATGGATAACGTGATGGCTGGGCTCCAGGATATTTTTACTCTTCGACTAAAGTATGAGCATTAAACCTGAGTATTTTGTTCAAATTTTGTTGTTGGGACGGTTTTGCGACAGAATTTTCACATTTTCCAATTGTAAATGTTCCAAAGTTTGAGAAGGGTTATCGATTGAAGCAAAGCTTGATTGGTGAATTAATTGAGTGGCAAAGAAATACACTCCATTTTATCGTTACAAACAGTTAGAAAATTTATCGTATGAATACATTTATGTCAATGAAATTTTCTATTCTTATAGTTCAACTAATACCAAAATGACATATGCGCAGCAATGGTGACTCTGTTTGCTTTAATTTCCCCTATTTTCTGTCTGCTTCCCTCAGCTGAACTACAGACGAGACAAAGTGTATTCCCTCTTTCAACGACCGATATTCACACTTTCAAAATACACTATATAGAACTGAACCATTAATTCCGCGACAATCGACAGTTGACAATTTTCACTGAACCATCGTTGATCTCTCACTCTCCCTCTCCCCATGTGTGCCCTTGGGTTTGTGCGGGCAGACACCTCGTATGAAGTGCGCATGGTGGCCACGAACGGTGACTTGCTGTCCACTGCCAGCACAACACGCATTGTCCATACCTTGGGTGGTCCCGGTCCGGCCAGTCTAACCGGGGCCGGAGGGACGTGGTTCATCATTGTCTGTTTACTCCTGATCGCATTTATCGCGTTTCTTATCCTGCTCGTCCTACTGCGAACACGTCGCCTGCGCGAAGGTAAGTGATCGTATATTTTCGTATGTTTTGATCCAATTCGAGTGAATATTGTGCTCTCCNTGCGCGTGGACCTGATTGATGATCTGCGTGTGCGCTTCGTAGATAATTCAACTATAGTTCTTTTCTCCACTTATTTCTTGAGTTATAGATGATTGAGTCCTCGAAAAGGCCATATTCTTCGATCAATCCTATATGTATCAAGCACTATGCACCAATGCTTCTTAGTTTACACTGTAAGTTTCATTTGTCGAGAGGTTGTTAATTTGTTCAGCATTCAAGTTAAATAACTTCCTTCTGGCCCAGCCGTATACCCTAATCGATTTATAATATTATTGCCTGTGATGCAACCATTCATGCAAAAGAACGGGTACAGCCGATATTGTTCAGTTGCTTGCCAATTCGGCGACAAGCGTTTCACCACCTAGTTGACATTTTCCATATAGCAAATTCGTTAAGCTCAGTGAGCAACCAAAAGTTAGACTACACCACCCGAACTACACATAGAACAATTAACTCTGTCCCCCCCCAAGCCCACTGCTTGTTGTCAGTTTTACGTTAGAACGCCATTGCGAATATTATTATAGCAATGCATCATAAAAGAGTTGATTTTTAAACAATTTTTCATTCCTGTTTCTGATTTTAGTTCAGAAGAGAGCCGCTGAACCAGTTCCTTTTGCTCAACCGTCAGAATTGAGGTCAGTTACAATGAAATTCTTTTTCTCCTTTGGTGAAATGTGATTTTGTTTATACGTAGTTAGTTTGAGCAGAAAATTATATCATTTTTACTGTTTTATTAAATAAAATATATGTGAATACGAACGTGCAATAATTTATAAATAAAGTTTAGTGTTTACCTGACCAGTGAACTTCAATTCAAAACCTAATTGTTTGCAGAGTTAGTGGAGTTTGTTATGCATTGGGTGATGCCAGAACGTTCTCCTGTCATCTGTTTGCTACTCTTCTTTCGTGTTCATGAGCCACAAAATATGGCGATAAATAGCGGTTTTCAGTTCACGAATCTTTCTGGTCATCATATGGATTGGCTTTGGTAACATTTTCACTATCCTACATTTTGACGGAAAGTATTTCTGAACGCTTCCACTTTCAGTAGTGTGCCCATTTTTTACCACGCAATCGGCAGGATTCGGTTAAAACTTGTCCGTTGCCAAGTAACCATAGCAAAAAATTATCATATTTATTGCCTTCACTGCGTGTCCGCGATCAAACTAACAACAAACGGATGGGAATGACCGAAGCAAGACTTATTGCGCTAACCCAAAAATAGTCGTCACGATATATATATTTATTGGTTTATATTATTGCATTCTATTTCTTCCGTGGCTTTTAGTCCTGAATATGCACAACCAATGGAACCGGGTGAATCCAGTCGACTATTGGCCCCAACGTATCCCCCATCGAACCTGTCAGTACCCCAAGTTCCACCGGTCCCTCGTCATTCTGAAAGCCAATGGTCCCCTAGTGAAGGTGAAGAAGGAATGAGTGATTTCGAGCCCGATTCGTATACGACGAGCCAAGGTGAGCTTTGTCGTCACTTGGCAATTTGCTAAGTTACTCAAACAAGAGGTTCCGAAACTGTGGGCTTTTTAGAAACCGTCTCTAATCAATACTACGAGTAGTAGAACACACAATGGGAATACAATCGCCGAGTTGGCTTTGCGCTGCTCATATGAAACATTGTCACTTCTTGCTCTACATTCAACTATCAATGTTAAGAGTTTTTAACCGTACCTATAACTGTCAAAATTGTTGACCAGTGCATGCAGTCTGAAACAATATCATCATCTGTGTTTGTGCGAGAAATGTAGTCTTATTTGCGTCGCGACTGATCTCACTGGTGATGATTGCTCTCTTCTTGTTCAGTTCAGTTCAGTTTGTACGACCAATAACCATGCACTATCGTGCGCCGTTTTTGGTTGCTGTCTTATAACTGACCATTTGGATGAACATAAGGAGAAAGACAGGAAAGGTTGAAAGTAAGATGAAGGATTTCAGTGGATTAATGTTCTAGAGAACTTGAGAAGGTGCACGAACGCCACTGTTTACGACACCCAACCATATTATTCAGTGTCCCTAACCATCGGGTATGACCATCCCGAGGTCCCCATCCAGAGAACCTAAGGGGACCTACGTGACCCAGACTCCTGGTCAGGGTTTTCATACCCTCATGCCAGATCTTAGCTTGACCACCCTTGACTTTCTTCCACCCACTACCTGCCTCAGCGAACATCGCTTGCCGTGGCAACCTATCTAGTGACATTTGTAACACATGCCCCAACCAACGTAATCTATGGAGGTCGACCATTTGTTCCAGTGGGCGACCGCGGTTGCCTAAAACTTTGCACCCAACCTCAGCATTGCTAGCCCGTATACCCCACCAGATTCGTGCAATACTACGTAGACAGCGATGTTCAAACACCGACAGTTTATCTTTGTCCCGTTTTGGCCACGTTTCTGCACCGT